CTGTTGGCTGTATAAATGTCTTCTTTTGAGAAGTGTCTGTTCATATCCTTTGCCCACTTTTTGACGGGGTTGTTTGATTTTTTCTTGTAAATTAGTTTAAGTTCTTTGTAGATTCTGGATCTTATCCCTTTGTCAAATGGGTAGACTGCAAAAATTTTCTCCCATTCTGTAGGTTGTCTTTTCATTCTGATGGTAGTTTCTTTTGCTGTGCGGAAGCTCTTTAGTTTAATTAGATCCCATTTGTCAATCTTAGCTTTTGTTGCAATTGCTTTTGGTGTTTTAGACATGAAGTCCTTACCCATGCCTATCCTGAATGGTATTTCCTAGGTTTTCTTCTAGGGTTTTTATGGTTTTAGGTCTAACCGAGATTTTTTAAATTTTATTTTTCTTCTTCTTACATTCCCCTCAAATGCACTGAAGGAGATATCACCTAGCAAAAGAGAAAAGGGCCTATTAAAGAGCTGATAAACTCCATCTTTTCCCCCATCGCCACCTCACACACACACTCTTAGCCACAATAGCAACAGGCTAGTCTAACCACGTTAGAAAGAACAGGAGATTTCTTTGGTAGAGCATCACAACAAATCCTAAAACATATGTGCAAATGCAAAGGGCAAAAAATAGTCATAACAATCTTAAAGAACAAGGAGGAAAAATATACACTATTAGGTTTCAAGACTTTTCATAAAACCATAGTAATGAAGACAGTGTGACACTGGTGTAACAGCCAGTGAGCTCCACACTGCCTTATTACTATGGTATAATGAAAAGGGAGCTCTGAAATTGACCCACATATATGGTCCCCTGATTGACCACAAATAATGGTATCGGAGCAATGGAATATCCATATGATGAAAAAATTAACCTTGACACTCATCTCACATTATGCACAAAATTTACTTGAGGTGGACCATAAACAAAATGTGAGATGTTCAACAATAAATCTGCTAAGTTCAACTGTGTGCCAAGCTGCTCTGGAGAACTGCAACAAACTCAGCAGCAACTGCAGCAAACTCAAATGGTGCCCTGGGATATTCTGCGTTTTGGAGGGAAACAGAGCAATACAAACTTCTGTCAAACTCCTCACAAAATATCAGCTAAGCTAATTCACACTTTCAGCATCACATTGTGCCACATTTTATTCTGTGCACACCTTAGCAAAATTAGGTGTTCAATGGTGGCTGTCAACGAAAGCAAGTACTAAGAAAAAATTAGTATGGAAGAGGGTAGGAAATTTTGATCTAGGTAGTTACTTATTTTGTACATAAGCAAAAATTTAGAATTGTCACTTTATGTGCTTTTCTGTATTTATTTTCTTTTATTTTTTATAGTATTACTTTTTTGAGATGGAGTCTCGCTCTGTCACCCAGGCTGGAGTGCAGTGGCGTGATCTTGGCTCACTGCAAGCTCCGCCTCCCAGGTTCATGCCATTCTCCGGCCTCAGCCACCCGAGTAGCTGGGACTACAGGCGCCCGAGTAGCTGGGACTACAGGCGCCCGAGTAGCTGGGACTACAGGCGCCGCCACCACACTCAGCTAATTTTTTGTATTTTAGTAGAGATGGAGTTTCACCATGTTGGCCAGGCTTGTCTGGAATTCCTTACTTCAGGTAATCCACCTGCCTCAGCCTCCCAAAGTGCTGGGATTACAGGTGTGAGCCACCACGCCTGGCCTGTATTTATATTATGTCTCAATAAATAAATAACCAGAACTTAGTTTTAATTAGTATAATAAGACAATTCTAAATTTAAGTCACTACACTATTATTTAATCTGACCAAACTAAGTGCAAAGGCATTCAACATAGGGCAGTTAATGGCAGTTATTTACAGAAATCTTCCGTATTTACATGTCCTACAATGTGATGTTTCTTCACATATAGTTTGTTCTATAAGCATAACATACCATGGTTCCTAAACCATGAGTTTGGGTTCTCGCTGCACTATTTATTGTTTGCATAACCCCGACAAGTTACCTCATCTCTTTTAAAACCAAGATAAAAATGTCACCATACCTTACTAGATTGTTGAAAAAATTAAAGGGGCCATGTATGCCTAGCAGAGATTGAGAACTAAATTTTATATTTTGTCTTTATTGTTATTATCATTTCTCTTCCACAGATCTCGAGTAAACATGACTCAGCTTTTATAAACAATTTATGCAACCACAGGAATATAATTTTCAGCATAGACACAATTTTTGTCACTGATTGAGATCATTGCAAAACCAGGAAACCAGATGGAAGTGAAGAAGAAAAAGGGCAGGTGACATTGAATGGATGGAGAAGAAAAAGGGCAGGTGACATTGAATGGATGGGGATGAGTCAGAGTGAAGGTGTTTGCAGCAGAACATTGAAAGTGGGAGAAAACACAGAAGCACGTTGTCCCCACTACTTCACGTGGCACTCCAGTGTCTTGGGCAGGAGAGCCTGCCGCCACAATGGTGGAACCGAAGCAACCCAGCCCCATCAGAGGAGAAAGCTGAGAAATGGCCATTCAGCTGGACCAGCATCAGTCACCTCCAGAGTTCAGGTTACTCTGTTTCTCTGACCCGGAGATGGTATCAGACGAGTAGAGAGGAGAGGAGTCATCATTGCAGAGCGGTGAAATCACTATGGCAATACAGATTTCAATATCTAATTAAAGAGAATAAAATTTGATACAGTTCACATAAAGCCTGTATCAAAGCAAAATTAATTTCAGTCATATTTTTTAAACTGTGGAAGAAGATCCTGAAAATTTTCTAGTGATTATTGGGTAATAAATGAAAATCAACCCTCCTGTATTCACTAATGTAAGACCTGCGAAAGGATTCTGTAATCTAACCACTATGCTATTTTATTGGTTTTCATAAACAACCAAAAAATACTCATTGCTTCACAGAAGACCTTGGGTTCTCAGCCCTCCACTGTGCCCATAATGACTTAAGTTTCTCTCCTGGGAATTCTCCTAAGATAGGATTATTTTAGAATGCTGAGCCTCAAAAAGTGGGACATCATACTTTAGCAAAACATCATTTTGAGCCAATATTTGCAACACTAAGATTTCTAAGTCCACATAAGGGTCTCCAGACTGTTTGTAATTCCCCATTATTTATGTTGAAATAATGGACCTGATTTTCCTTCTCTTTGACTACTAATCAGTAAAAATCTTTTTGCTAGGATGAACTGGTTTTCAATGGCCACCCTGACCAATATATTTGTTAGCCTCAGAGACATAAGCACTTTAAGGAGATGCTTTCTTCATTGTCTAAGGTAGAGTTTTATGAGTAGTAATGGCAAATATAATCTGCTTTTATCTCTGAGCAGGTAAACCCAGCTGATTGTGCTGGCCTCTCCAATTTTCCCTCCATGTGCCCGTAATTTTGACCCCTTCATGTCCTATTATTAGATATTAGGATCAGATCCAGTTGGAACTGACCTCTAAGGTAAATATGAACAAATTAAAGGGTAAAAGATCCGGGAGACATTTGACACATCCCCCACGGGCCCTGAAATAATAGAAAACAAAGAAACCTAAGAGACCAGCTTCTTGGGCAAGAATGTGAGGCGTGTTTGACATTGCCCGGACGGCACGGCCGGAGTGAACACACTCGTTGCTCTGGAAAAGCTGACGTGGGCTTGAAGCCCCAGCTGTGATAATAAGACCACGTGACCTGTGACGACGTCTTGACTGAATTGGTCTTGAATCTAATTATGATGTTAAACAGAGCCTACGAAATGAAGGCATGTCTGGAAGAAGAGACACAGCAACATGTTACAGCCAAACTAGAACCTAAAACCCACAAGCGCATGTCATCGCACCTGCTGTTTGTTTCTGCCAGAGCCGTCATCCAGTGATCTAGAGACGAGAAAGGGGAGCAACAGCGCTGAAAAGCAATGACGCGTGGTGGGGAGCGAAGGCCGGTCTGGGGCTGAGCGTTCAGGCTCCTCGTTGTGTTATTTCCGCCCCTTCGGTGGTGCTCCCTGAACCTCACCCCACATCTGAGAGACGACCGGTTCAGCTGACAGCACACAGATCTCTACTCTTTTCTATTTTAAACAAAAAAACTACTAAGTGGTATTCCTCAGATCTTGAGCAATATTACACACCGAAAACTATGTCCTACTGAAAGTAAGAAGGTATTCTCCTGGGAAGTGGGCCCTATGTCTATTACACATACTTAGTAAAATCTCTCGCTGTGTCAGCATCTCTGGAAGGTCCTTAGCACTCACCAGGAACAGTGGTTGCCTCTAGGAATGAAATGGGACGACGGAAGAAGACCTGGGGAGCAGCGGCAGGAGGAGACACTCATGATGCACCTTTTGGCCCTACGTAGTTATTTTCCACATGCATGGAGTGCCTTGTATTGACCCAGAACTAGTAATTATAATACCTTGGATTTCTATAATTACAGTAATTCTAATACCTTGCATTTATATAATGTTTTGCAGCTGTAACAACGTCTTTGTATCAGTTCTCTCATTTGAGTCTCTGTGGGTTGCATGAGGTTGCATTACTAGCTCCATTTTGCCACTGGGGAAATTGAATTCAAAGGGCTTTAGAGATTTACTGTGAGGAAATATTGGAGGCCAAGCTAAAACATAAGCTTCCAAACACTCAGCAAATCTTTCTTCCACCACACCACATTACTCTCAAGGAGGAGGGAGAGGAGAACTGAGGAAAGAAAGCTAAATTTTTTCCTTCAAAGGTAAGTAGTTAGAATCATCAGTTTGGGAAGGTATTATCAGTAAATGAACCGAGGGGATCTTCCTGAGGCCAATTTAAAATCTAATTCAAATTATTTGAATTATTAAACAATCAGATGTCTTCCCTTTGCATCTAATTCAACAAGCATCAATAACAGCATAAATTTTAATTATCCTGGAATAATTAGGAACACATTTCTTTCCTATCACTCTTAGGGCCAAATCACATTTCTAAAGTGAAACCTAATCTAAGAACTTTCCAATACAATATCATATAATTAGGTAATTTAAAAATATATTTTGAAAATGAAATCTCCAAGCATCATTCATTAACAGACTCTGATATTCCCTTCAGTCATTGTCATGGCTAAGAAAGCAGCTCCAACCCACACACTGCAAATACGAAGGCCACGAAAGGCACGCAGGCTCTGGTGTGTGTAGTGAAGATGAGTGACCATGTTCCTAAGCATGAAGGACCACGTGAGGATCCCGGACACCTACTGCATGAATGTATTAGCCCTTTCAGGTCTAGGGACCTGGTAACCCTTCATTACTTATACTCTGACTTTCTTCCACTTCTTTCCCCAGTCCATAAATGTAACTTAGGTGACTTATTAACCCTGACGGTTTGATCAACAATAGTAAGCTCTAGTTTCAGGCCTAGTGTTGGTCCCCCTACTGCAGACATGGGATAAAGTCAAGGGCTAACCACCCTTACAAATTTACACTTTTCTAAAGGGTGCCTTGGGAGAGAGGGAGTGCAGAGCAGAGAAAACCTACCTGTGCAACTGACAAGGCCACTCAGGCCACGGGGACAGAGCAGGAATGCTCTCAGGAGTGTCCCCTGCACCTGAATTCGATTTCTGCCTTCGCCTTCTGCCTCCTACCCAGCGTCTCCTGCACAGTCAGTCAAGCGTTTCCACGGTACCAGCCATACCTGATGCCAGGAGACTCACTACACTTGGAAGCTCTTCAAGGTGGGACTTTCTGTCTTCTTCAGGGCTTCATTCTCAGTAGTCAACACAGGACCTTATACTGAAAGGAAATAAGTGCAATGTCCTAACAGGTGCCTCTGGAATAAATGAGCATTTGAAATGACAATATATCTAGAAAAAACAGAAAATATACACTGGACATATTTTAGGTGGCTGAGATTATTGAATGGGAAAACAGTGAGATTTTACAACTGTGTGGGTATCATAAACGCTTCCTATATAACACCTGATTTTGCCCTTATCACAGAGAATTCATATAATCAAAACTATCTCCCTCAAAATGTCTTCCTAAACATGAAAACAAATTATTTGACTTTATAATGCCACTTTTCACCCCAAAGTGTCTGACCCTTTCACTAAACATTACTGAGTATTAAATAGGATAGATATAATTTCTCTGAAATTCACTGAGTATGATTTTCAAATGCTGTAATTTCTAAAAATAATATCTAGGCTGCCTTTAATTCCTCATGTCAGTAATAAGTAATGTCCCTACAAAGCTTATAGGGAATCAGATACATTTGTTTATAACATACTGAAGAATTTAAACAACCACAGAATATGGATATAATAAGATAAAATATTAAATATTTCAAGGCATGGTTATCTTTGTGAACTGGATCTTGGAGAAGCAGGATTGAACATAAGAGCTATCTCTGAGGCTCCAGCACCTACAAGGGACGCCCTCCCTCTCCCCCGTGGACCACCTGTCTAACCCAAGTGAGTCTCACACAGAAACCAGTCATGGCCCTGCCTTCGCCCCCCTTGAAATCACCCGAGAGGATGCTTCCAACTCAGGCAAGCATAACTGACACTCACTCTGCATGCAACAGCAGGGGAATGACCTTACAAGAAACTAATGGGCCTCGCTTCAGGAGAATCACTGTCAGAGCCTGTAACATAAGATAAATAACAGCCAAGGATTTTTGAAAAGTTTCCTGATGAGAGAACCATGACCTTTTCAAGGGTAGTGATGGATTGATCAGGGCAAGCAACATGTAGATTTTTTAAAACAAGGCTAGCAAAAGAAACAGTGATATATATCTACCAAAGTTAGCTAGAATACCCGGCTGGTGTCCCAGTCAGGAAACACAGGAAAAGGTTACATCTGTAGGGAAAAAAAAAACTTGTTACGCAAAACGATGCAGTTAAAAACCAAGCTCACTGTAAGAAATGCCGTGTGGGCCAGAGGGGACTGTCATGTCGAAAGTGCTCGGTGTTCCTGAAGCTGGGCGGCCAGGTGTTTTAACACCCAAAGGCCCTCCCTGCTGGGGCCATGGGATAAGCCTCTGAGTGGCTTCAGACCCAGCAAGGAGCTCTGAAGTCTATGCGGGGGGTGGAGGGTGGGAATCCTGTTAGAAGCTCTCACTGCTGTGAATTTATGAAGCCCCGTGCACACTGTGACTTTTATAATCATAACTTAGCTGGCTTTAGCTCACGTTGCAGGTTTCATGACAGGCTGCTCCTTAATGAGCATTGTAATCTTCAGGAAAGAATCCAAATTCTTTAGTCACCACCTAACTCCACGTTCATTACCGTGTTGTACAGAGTGGAGTCCAAAAGCGGCAACTGTGTTTATTTCTCCACAGAAAATACACCTCCACCAAGGCATGTCTGTTCTATTGTTTTTTTATTCTTAACTAGACTGTTAATATAATTGTTGGTTGCATTGATTTCAGCTTCCCCACAGGATGCAATTGGTTTTCTGTGGCATTTCACTCACACAAACCAAGAGAGACATCAGACAGTTAAAATACACTCTGGACCAAAACCGAGGGCAGGGGAGAGGTGGGCAGGCCAGGCACAGCCCTGCTGAGAGAGACTCTGGACCAAAGCCCAGGGCAGGGGAGAGGTGGGCAGGCCAGGCACAGCTCTGCTGAGGCACTGGTTTGACACGTTGAGTTGAAGGGTTTCTACTCAAAACACCTGTCTCCCTGCCAAGGTGAAGGCTAGATGGTAAAAAAGAAAGTTCCTTCTTTTCTGACAAACCTAGGCTCTCTCCATAGGAAGTGCCCTAAAGGCCCCCAGCTCTGACTCCCAGCGCAGACCTCAGACTCTCCTACTTTGAACGGACATGAAGCTTTATGCCCCTCGCCCTGGATAACGCGTGTGCCCTGGATTGTCTCCCAGGCCAAGTCCTCTCCAAGTTCTTGGCCCTTTGTCCCGAGGCTGGGTCTCTTCCTCTCGCTTCCCTTGCTCCGAGCTGTGTCTCTGGATACACCCCGTGCAAACCAGGCTTCCCGAGCTCGGCTGGCTTCTGGCTGGGTTCAGCAAACGGGAAGCCCAGACAGGAGACTGGAGAGCAGGAAGACGGGAGAACAAGGAGATTTCTCCTCCTGCAGCACCCCCAGCAGCAACGGCGTGTCCTCCACAGTTAACTGGAAGAAAAAACCTGAGTCCTGGTCTCCTGGGTTGCCAAAGGGTCTTCTCCTTAGACATGTAAATACACAATATATTCGTATTTTTTAGTAAGCCTTTAGAGATTTAACTGCCAGGATTTAACATCAGTAAAAACAAATGGAGCAATATGAAATTGCAACTCACTGAGGGCATTACGATTCAGAAAGTGAAGGAATGCGGGGCCAGCTCCAGCCGCAGCTCACATGTCCCCACGCCCGGCCGCAGCGCACCCGTGCCCACGCCCGGCCCCGCACCCGTCCCCACGCCCGGCCCCGCACCTGTCCCCACGCCCCGCCGCAGCGCACCCGTCCCCACGCCCGGCCCCGCACCCGTGCCCACGCCCGGCCCCGCACCCGTCCCCACGCCTGGCCGCAGCGCACCCGTCCCCACGCCCGGCCCCTCACCTGTCCCCACGCCCGGCCCCGCACCCGTCCCCACGCCCGGCCCCTCACCCGTCCCCACGCCCGGCCCCGCACCCGTCCCCACGCCCCGCCGCAGCGCACCCGTCCCCACGCCTGGCCCCGCACCCGTCCCCACGCCCGGCCCCGCACCTGTCCCCACGCCCGGCCGCCGCGCACCTGTCCCCACGCCCGGCCGCAGCGCACCTGTCCCCACGCCCGGCCCCGCACCAGTCCCCACGCCCGGCCCCGCACCCGTCCCCACGCCCGGCCGCAGCGCACCTGTCCCCACGCCCGGCCCCGCACCTGTCCCCACGCCCGGCCCCGCACCTGTCCCCACGCCCGGCCGCAGCGCACCTGTCCCCACGCCCGGCCCCGCACCTGTCCCCACGCCCGGCCCCGCACCCGTCCACAAGTGTCCAACTCCCAGGCACTGCGCTTCAACACGCGCCACGCGCATCCTCAGCTGGGCATTTCCAGAGGGAGCAAGTCTCCGAGAGGCAGGTCTAGCGCTAAGTTTTCAACGAGCCGCTGGCGATACTTCCGAACACAAAGAAATGAGAATGACTTCACCTCTCAGCAGAGCCAGAAGCAGTAGACAAATAAGCAACCATGGGATTTTTTTTCTTCCCTCCTTGCGGACACGCTCCTGCCTCCCCTCGCACCGCCCTGGAAACAGGAAGAAGGTGCGCATCTTGGTACAACCATCAGCCTGCCCAGGTCCGCTTCAGTGGGGGACAGGACAGGGAGTGACATAAATAAACGTGATGCGATGTCCCCGGAAGAGGAACATTACACTGGGAACATCCGCAGATGGTTCAGAATTGCATCCATATGTAGTTATTACTTAGGAATCATTAAGGAAATAAATGCTTTCTTTTTCTAGGACTTCTTTTAAGAGAGGTTGGGAAACCTTTCCGGTGTTTTCTGTCACTTCCGCAATTTTAAATCGGATGAAATAGTGGGAGATTTCGCTTTTAGGAGAGATTTTGTTTTTACGGCTTTCTCCTTTCAGCTATCGTAACAAACATAGCTGCCCACACTTCGCATGCTTAAAGGCCGGATGGGACCATCTCTATATTAGGGCCCAAACAAAATTGGCTTCTGGAACAAGTGTGGCTGTGTTGAACTCGGTCCACTTGAGTCGCAGATGCGGTTGACAGAGAGAGGACCAGCTGCATACAAAGCTCCTTTAGAGAATATCCTGCTAATGTGACCTACGTTTCAAAGTGGAAATCAAATATTCGCTGCCACTGGAGTCTTAATATTTCTGGGATTATCAAAAGGACTTTCCTCTGACACAGAAGATACCATAACTTGACTGGGGGTTGAATTCTGATTCTGCCACAAAATAGCTGTGCATGACACCTAATCTTTTTCTCATCTTTAAGATGAAGTTCTGAAATTTCAGGACACTTCCAACTTCAAAACATATCATTCCATGCAACAGAGAGGCAACACATTGATGAGACTCCTGTCCCAAATCATATTCTATCCTGTACCTTTCTATCAGTCGGTAAAATCGCAGATGCTGATTTAGACAACAAGCTTTATATCACTGACTACCAAACAATGTCAGGTTGATCTTTGTACGAAGGGGTCGGTTGGGAAACACCTGGCCAGCATGGAGAAGTGTGGTTGGTGTTGGAGGGAAAGGAAGAGGAGATGACAGTCACATCAGGAAGCTGCTCTGCCCCGAAATGAGCTCAGTGATTCACAAAATGCCATCACCAAATCTGGCACCTACAGCCAGTCCCCAGTGACTCCCTGGGTAATAAAGAAATTCCAGGGCTCTTAAGAGTCATCATCTGTTTGAGGGGTAGTTCTAATGCACCTAGGTCTAAACAGAACCACTTAGAATGCCAGCAGAATAGACAGAAACCTGCAGTGGTGTCCCCTGACTTGCCAGCTTTCTAGGGCCTGGTCCCCACCACAGCTAAGAATAGATGTCAGAGGCCCAGGCGGTGGATCACGAAGTCAGGAGCTGGAGACCATCCTGGCTAACACGATGAAACCCCATCCCTACTAAAAGTGCAAAAAATTAGCCGAGCGTGTTGGTGCGCACCTGTAGTCCCAGCTACTCCAGAGGCTGAGGCAGGAGAATGGCGTGAACCCGGGAGGTGGAGCTTGCCGTGAGCAGAGATTGTGCCAGTCACTCCAGCCTGGGCCACAGAGCCAGACTCCGTCTCAAAACAAAACAAAACAAAAAAACAAAAAGAATAGATGTCAGGTGGGCACAGGATCCAAACTGTGGGCTAAAGTTACCATTAGAAGCTTGCCTTGAAATTGCTTTACAAACCTACACTCTTCTATCCACCAATTTTGACACCAGTGGAATATGAAACTTCACATGTAAACTCAGTATCATCCTTTCATGTGAATTCAGAAATTCCAAGTTGGTGATGTATTTTTATGTGACGTTAGCAAGAATTAAACTAATGTCTCTTTGTCTGGACTTCTTTTCCAGAAAGTGTCCTATGTGGTGAAGGGTGAAGGAGTGAAAGGGGGCTAGGAGGAGCGTATATAATTTAGTCTTGAGATATTACAGTGGTATCAGTACTGTTGTGCACACGGAGCTTTACTGTTTTAAATATTATTTTATGTGAACATGGGCTTAATCACTTTCGAAACAAATTAGCCAAAGAAGACAACTGATGCTTAAGCCTATCGCTTAGCTAAATACATATAGGAATAGCTGTATTTCAATAAGCATAAAAACAAGAATAAGGATGAGATCATACCCTTGGTTGAAGCAAACTTTGGCTTAGTTCTCCATTGAATATTTTATTACAGGAATCAAAAAGTTGAGAAGATTCTGTTCTGCCATGTAAACTAAAAGCCAACCAGTAGATGAGAAATTGAAAACCACAAAGCTTGGGGGAAAAAAAATGAATGCTTTGGAGCATAAATTTTTCCATTAAATTATGCCAATAAACCTAGGACCTTGAAAGTTACTATGCTCAAATATATTTCAAAAGGAAGAAAATGCTCTTTTCAAACTAAGGACTAGAAATTGAATGTATAGATTAGCAAGATTTTTTAATTCCACTAGGATAAATAAACCAATTTATTACTTCCTGTTAATTCAATATCAATCTGTTTGAATTGGATTTACATTTTTAAATATAGAAGATACCTTTGCAAAGTATTCAATTAAAATAAAAACAAGCCTAGGTATATGTCTCTCTATCTTTTCTAAGCTTTCCAGATGCGTATCACACCCTTGTTTTCCCACTGGTTGTGTAAGAATACCAAACATTAATTGAGGGTTGTTATATGAGTAAGAACAACTCCCAAGGTGTGAACGCCATGGGAAGTCACTGAGCTCAAGTATTCACCTCATACTAGTCAAAGTTAAGGATAGTACAAGAGGAAGAGTTGGGTTAAAGTGTAGGACTTTATGTTACTGCAATGATTGGAAGCTCCTAATTAACAGGAAGTATGGAGTGGAATAAAGTGAACTTATCGTGAGGATCCTGGTGTTTTCTGTGGTACTTTCTCCTCCTCTCTACTGGACACTTTTTTTCTTCTTTGTCTTTTTCCATTAAATAAAAGCAAGCCATTGATATGATTAATATGATTCAATAGACTGTGGATTGAGAATCAGAATTTTGGAGTTGTTAGTCATCAACAAAGTAATCATCCAAGCATTTAATTTCACTGTGAATGATAGCAGTTGAAATGATGATTTCTTGTTATTCCTTGATTGTACATTTAAAACACATTATTTTCCAATTTTATTTCAAGGAGGAATAAAATAGGAGAGAGAAAATATAAAGCAAAGGGGAATAAAGAAAGAAGCTTAAAATTAAA